TGAGGGAAAATTCCCCTTTTCTCTGCATCCCATTGGCTGGCCTATGACTCCCAAAGACTTTATTGTGAGTACACAACACACACACACACACACACACACATGTGCACGCGCGCAGATGGGTCGACACAGCTATTCTTCTTCTTTATTCCTTTGGACAGCCGTAGCCCAAACATTAGTCCTAATCTCTACCATAACTAGTAACCCTGACTTTAACTTTACATAGGAACACAGCAACCATGGAGGTTTTTAACCCAGTGAGGTCTTTGAAAATAATAATAATTTTTAAAAAAAGAATGCGTGCCTACTCACAGTTTTTCGTGTTAGAATGATCTCAGTGTACTCGCTACACGTGCTGAAATTTAGCGTGGCTCGCCCGAGCTAATAGAAGACGACAAGCTCCAGAGGTCGGCGGCTCCGGAGAACTCGGCTTCGGGTTTTTTGCTCCTGCCGTTTACTTTGCTTGTCACAGGTAGGAAATGATGGAGTGATGATAAATACTGGGCTTGTTTTGAGAAGCCAAAGCCTTTCCTCCCGCAAAAATAAACCGCCGGCTTTCTCAGCCCCATGGTAGGCACACTTCTCAGCTGACTGAACACACAAAAGGTCGTCGTCTTTTTCCTGGTGCCTTTTTGTAAACAAAGACCCGCTTTACTTTACAAGCGCGAAAGAGGGGTTTTATTTGGAGCATTAAAAGTTTATGTAAGGACAGGGAAATTCCATCACAGGATTATTCATACGGATGACAGAAGGGTGTTTAACGCATTATGAAAAATGAGCGTCTAAAGCGTTGTTGACATATGTTTTCCGAGGCCTAAACTTTTGTTCGTATTTGTTACGAGGCCGTAGGCGTTGAGGAGGAGTGACAGTGTCCTGTGGCCTTCAACCATAACACACCACAGACAGCGGAACACATGGCGCTCAGCTGTGCATAAGCGACCATTTTTAACATCAACGCGTGTCAGCGACCGTGCCGTGCCGTGCAGATATGCTCCCCCCTCAGGTGAAAGAACGTGACTCTCTCCCTCATGCCGCAGTTCAAAGTAGGTAGTGCAGGTGGGTGTCGTGCCGGTGATTCAACATGGAGTCACAAAGCCGTCCAGTGTCTCATCTCCTGACAATGTTTTGTATTCAAACATGTGGGAAAGAGATCTTCTGTCAGGCGGCAGACAGAGATTGATGGCCTTTGGCTCAGTGGCCTAGATATGTGTATGTGGAGCTCAGTGAAGCAGCTAATGCAATAAACAGAGATGTTTTGTAATTACCCTATGATGGAGCATCTGCTCCTCGTGACCTCCAGACAACGTTTAATACTTTTCCTCCAACCCTGGAGATAAAACATAATGATTGAAATAGTCAAATGCCAAATGTTAATGTAACTGATACAGTTGGCTTCTGTTTTATTTAAAAAAAACAACCCAACAACTCCCTGATTCATTGATAATCCAGCAGTACTCATCTGGAACTGTTTTTGGTTATATGCTGGGAAGTGCCATCTCGGTGGATTAGCCGTTTAGCACAACAGCAGCGTACGCGTAAGCTCTTTAGATGTTTTGTCTTAGTGTGAAGTTATTGACAGCAGCTCATAACACACCGCAGATTAGTCATGTCAACTAAAAACAATATTTTAGTGCACACACAGAGCTCAACTTTGAATTCAAAGCCAGTAACGCTGTGAAGAGGCTGGTCAAATTAAAGAAAGTCCCAAAAAAAAAATCCAAACTATTTCCCTAATTTCCTGTTAAGCACTTATAGAAGGACTGTTAGTGTATGTGTGTTTTTAATATTATATCATAATAAATATAAAATAAATTAAAGGAGTAGCCTATATTTGTTGACGACTATGTAACTATGCAACTCTGTAAAACAGAAAAGAATTACAAAGTTAATACAAATTTCATTATTTAAAAAAATCTCTGATATTGGTAAATTTTGTATATATCAACCATATATTAAAATCTAATGATTTTAATATTTAAATATAATCTCCTAATAATATTAATAAGTACGGAAATGAAGATTGATATTATTTTTATTGTTAATATAATTGAGGTTACATTAAGGGTCATTATTTGTGACCCGTAACTTCAAATGACACCACTGTTAAATGGTGGGAAACTGTTGGTGCATACAGAAGCTCATTCTTTATTTGTCTGCACAGCATATGATTATGCTGATGGTATATAAAAAAAAAGAAATGAAGAAGAAATGTAATTTGAATTGCACATTTGATCCAGCGCAGCCCCACAGTCGACTGGTTTCGGTGCTGAATTGTAGGTTAGGCTCTTTATGGCCATCTATCATGGGGCTATGTTTAAGACTCATCTACATGAAGGATGAGAGCAGTTGATGAATATGACATGTGACCGTTAATGATGGTGATTTTATTGCCGGAGAAACGGCCTGATTTACAGAGGATGGATAACGACACTGTGGGCATGATTTAGAAGATTTGTTTTAAAGTGCTGATTAAACAGTTAGGCCCTGCTTTATTTTTCGTGCTCCCTGTTTTACGGCTTCATCACAGCGATTACAAAGGCAGTGGAAACGTCCCACATCTGGTGTCATCGTAAATCTTGGTTTAGCCAGATTCCTGTCGAGACCACGGCCTCGTTTGTCTTCTTTAATGAAACAATAATCCACAACCTGGGTTTTGATGATGCAGTGAGGACACACACACACACACACACACACACACACACGGCACATGCTGTAGCTACAGTATGTGGTTTTAGCTTATGTCAACAAAAGTTAATAAAACAAAATAGGTGAACGTTAGAGATTGTCTTAAAATTACAGTATTAGCGGCTTTAGAAGTTAATGCAGAGCTAAGGTTATAAATATGAGGAACTGAATTGATTTATAGCCGTATACATATATATTTACAAATGTGTATATATATATATGTGCATACATGTGTGTGTATATATATATTTATATTGACATATATGTATATATAAATATATGTTTATATTTAAAAAAATAAATATGTATATATTTATATATATATATTAATTATTTAGCGCATCTGTATTCCTTCTAAATTAAATCCCTTGAAAATTGAATTCACGTATGATGTTGAAAATTTACGAAAGTAAATATAAAAAGCGTGTACAGTATGAAGTGAAAGCTATGTAGTAAATATAAATAGAGTAAATATAAATACGAATCCATTTAGATTTCTGTTTCAGGCTCCGTGAGTCATTTTGCTGCACGGCCAAACAAACCAGTGAAAGTTGCTCAGATTGATTTTCCATATCCATCAGTGTGGTCACTGAGCAGCAGCAGACGCCCCCCCTCTTTAACTCATCAAAGTGAAGCACAATTAAAATGACATTTGAATGACTATCACCTCCTCAAACATCAAGATCAGGATCCAGGAGTTGGAAAAAACAAAACAAAAACCAGAACACCAGTTGGCTTTGATAGTCTCGCAGCGGCCATAACTGTAAACTTTAATGCATTCGTGGCCGTCATGTTGCCTGTGTAAAATAATGCACATTGAGGCTTTTCAAAGTAATATTATAATTCTTTTTTTATTTTAGTCACGCTTGAAGCTATCGCAAATAAATACAGTGATCCCCATTTGGATCCAGTCCCTGCATGAAGTACAATATAAAACTCATTGGGCCTAAATCTCCTTTATAAATGTGGGCTATAACTCTTTGTCTCTACTGGTATCCTAAGGCTGATGCTGTCGTCAGTCTTTGTCCATACAAGGCGTACGGGGAGTAGTAGGGTCCGGTGGCTGCAGGCACTGGCACCGGGGCGCCGGGACCAGGCAGGGGGCTCTTTGAATAGGGGTGATAGCGGCTGCTCAGTCCGAGTGGGTGGTGGGGCCCTCTGAGGGCCAGCGTGCCGGGGCTGCCTGGGCTGCCACTGGGAGGCATGTGCATGTGACAGGCCATAGCAGCAGCAGCGGCGGCGTTGGCCAGAGAGGAAGAGCCCGGGTACCCAGATATTAACTTCTCTGTGCCGGCGAAGGCCGTGTGAGTCCGCAAGTGACTTAGGAGCTCCTCCGAGGAGGAGAAGCGCTTGTCGCAAGGTCCATTAGCAGACACCCAGTTACACACGTGTGGGAGGGGGTCGTTGGGAAGCATAAAGCCATAAGGATACAGGGGGTGTCCACTGAAAGACGCAGCAGTAGTGTGCACACCGTGTAAAGGGTGCGTGGGATACATGAGTGGGTATCCAGATTTGAGTGCGGAGGCGGCAGCGGCGGCGGCTGCAGAGTCATGTGCAGAGTTGGCGCTGGACGCACCAGACAAATGGCTTGTGCAGTGGTAGCTCAGACAGTAGGGGTCTCGACACAGGCTGGCAGACATGAGAGTCGGAGGGGACGCTCCGGCTAAGGGACTGCTCCCTGTTTTGCTGCAGCCCAGTGAGCTGGCTGCAGCAAACTGTGCGCTCAACAGCTGGCTGCTGGATTTGGTGGGATCCAGGGTCATTCCAGGAGGGAGGAACGGCTGCGGGTAACCTGCGTACGCACCTGCTAAACTCCCAGGGTAGGAGAGACCAGCAGGTGGCAAGGGGAAAACGGCATGACCGGGCTTGTAGGGCGAAACAGGGGCCACCAGTCCGGAGGTGAGGACGGACGAGGACGATGAGGTTACAGATACTGAGTCTGACGTAACAGTTTTCGAAGCACTCGTGCTCTCCTGATGCTGGCTGCCATCACAGGTAATCCCACTTATCCTGTGGCTGCCGTTGCTCTCAGACGAACTGCTTTTATTGCTGTCGGACTCCTTCTTGTCCTCCTTGTCACCTCCTTTGCCATCAGGCGGCAGTGGAGACACTGAGGTGCAGGAGCTGGGGCTGCCTGTCCTAGGAGTGAATGGCTGGCAGGTGGCGCTAGGTACTCGGAAACTGGTTTTATCTCCACTCAGGCTGCTGCTGCCGCTGCTGCTCGAGTCCTTCTTCTCTGCAGACTTGGAGTACGGTTTGAAGCTCGACTTGTCGTCGGCACCGATGTCGCTCATTTTGAGCGGCCCGGATTTGGTCTCCTTGTCACTAGATCCATTTGAGGTGACGGAGGACAGTTTGGAGGAGGACGGAGGGTCCGGTTTGCCGATCTGTGAGCACGTTTGCGCCAACAGAGCCAGCGGACTTTTCTTGGCATCCAACTGTGGAATAAATAACAAAAATAACATGAGTATAAACCGAAACACATATGATGTTAAACATAAATCAAAGTAAAATCCCATTTAGAACTGTCCCGTTACTGCGCTTATTTGTAGAAGGGAATAAAACTTAAAACAACTCGGCAAAACGAGGCGCCCAGCCGACGTACCACCCGATGTAAAAGCAAAGGACAAATATTTATTTTAATGAAATCAAACATTACAGGAAAAATATTCCCACTTATAGTACAAAATGTAATTGTTAATTTGATAAAATCCACATTTTACTCGGTGTGATGTGCGATTTTATAGCGACGATAGAAGTATTTTGAGACCGATGCGAGTTTTGGTTAAAAAATAAATAAACACACTTAAATAAAATTAGAATTGAATTTTCTTATTTAAACGACTTCTATAATTTTTTTGGGGGGGGGGGCTTTTAAATAAAATAAAATATGACCTCAAAAAACATCGGGACCGCAGCTTTGTGTCCAACACACACCACAGCGTGGGTGATGTCCGTGTTGTGCGCAAAGCTTTCCACGGACATCGCCGCGGTTCTTACCTCGATGGGGCTGACGGGAGTGGACGGCAGAGGCTGCAGGTATTCCGGGTGTAAAATGTGTCCCGCCCGTGCCGTGAGCATTTTCAAAATCTTTATGGGAAGGCGGCTGGCCTGACGGGAAGGGTCTGCGGGAGAGACGGAGTTGTAGACGGACGGCCGGCTGCTGTTCACTGCGCCCCTGTCTCCCGAGGAGCCGCTGTGCCAAGCTGGATTCGTGCTATTTCTCAGGATAGAGACCGTGGGCGATGTGATCATGACCCAATTCTCGACGAAAAGGCTGAGAAATACATGTGTGGAGTTTAAAAAAAAAAAGAAAAAAGAAAAGAAAAGCCAAAGAGTCTGAACGTCAGAGGGCTCGGAGCTGTGTCGCAGATGAAAGAAAACAGAGTAAATCCCACAAAAAGGAGACGCGCAGTGTGTGAGCACAATCCCTGGATGTTGGAGCTTCTTCTCCGGCTTCTCTCTCTCAGTGTGTGGCTGCGGGTCCGAGAGCGCGCTGGGTTTACGTGGGTAGTGGGCAGGAGGGATCACTCCGCCTCCTCAGCAGCAGCATCTGAATCAGTCGGCGGATGACACTCCCAATCCAAGAGAGATCTGGATGTGATCGGGAGGGGTTGAGTGTGACGTTTCCTTCCCACACGGGCGACTTTTGCACATCTCACCTCGCGGCGAGCGCGTTTAAAGCGGAGTTTAATCTGCGTCCTTGTGCGTAATTGGTGCGCGGACGCACGCGTTTCCCGTGTGCCCTGGCTGATTTGCGGTGCAAATGAACCGGGGAAAATGCAGGCTATGAAGATGACCCCGACCTCTTTATGTGAAGTGATCACAAAACGATTTGAATCCACCTAAATTTAAAGCATACACGTACGTAATCATTCCTTTAATGTCAAATGACTACAGTAACATCACTTGTTTACATAACGGAGGCCAGAATCTGCACGAAAAAAACTCGCACTTTTCACCTTTAAAACTTAAAGCGTTTTATACGAAAGAGCAGCTTTGATTTTCCCGGTGACGTGTTCACAGCCATCCATCGCCTTGTTCACATTTGCAGCCACTTTCCCCCCTCAATCACGCAGCCTGTCTCCTGTCACTCCTCTGTCCTGATCTGTCAGCTGTTTGCACTTTTCTCCCCCCCCCACCTTCCCTCTTTTCAGTCAGATTCAGGTCAACTGCTGCAAAATGAATCCACGAGGAGTGGAGAGAAGTGATGCGTCTCTCTCCCAGGCCGTTTTATAGTTTTCTCCTGCTCCTGTACTTGTATTTGTGTGTACTGTTTCACTGTTTTCATTTTCATTCTGCCACTGATATATATATATATATATATACATGGAAATGATGGAATTACAACGGAAGAAAAATATATTTTCTACTCCACGGATGTTTAAAATCATCTTGTGGTTGCCATTAATCATTAAAGCTTACACATTTCTTCCCATCCAAACAGACCCACTTATCTTATTACTCAATAGCCTATAAATGTCTTGCTGATCAGGCGAAAGTTAAACATATGCAAGTGTTTTTTGATTGATAACAGGGCTGCTGTTTTCGGCAACGGCTGTCAGGCTGTGACACAGCGAGCTGAGTTATTAGGGCAGAGAAGGGCGACCATAAATTTCAAGCGTCAGGCAAAAACTCCTTTATTGTGGACGTGATGGATGGCTCGCCGCGGCAGACACCAAATTCTCGGCTTTATCCGTAAATGGCTGCACATTTCTTCTCTTTTTCCCCCTCTCTCTTGCTTTCTCTTCTCTCTCACGTCGCCGTAATTCATTACTTTTAAAGCAGAAAACTTGAAATCTCCTGCATGTAACATGAATCTCCCACCAGAGTCTGTGCAAATGCAGCAGATCACAGGCAGGGGCTGTGTGCTGCTGCACCTCCAGCCTGTGATCAGACCAAATCAAGGCTCAGTCGTGAGACATTTAACATAAATATACAGAATATTTCGAGCTCAAAAATCACGGCTTTACTTGAAATAAAAATTAAAAAAAAAGGTTAAATGCACAATAATAACAAAAGAGGACAATAACCTTTTCTTTTCCTGGCAATTATAAAAAATATATTTATCACATGCAATTTAATAATGTTGTCATTAAACACACTTTCTGCCCTGACCTTTAAAAATTATATTTGGGCTTCATGGAGACAATTGTCCTTATCTCCATCCACATCCTTGGACAAAGAAAACACAAACTGATAAACACTACATCATAGTCTACAGTTTGGCAAAAAAAACAAACAAAATAAAGCATTTCTTGTGTCAGTAGGTTCCATTTAATCAAGTATAAGATAATTAAAAATGCATTACTGGAGCTACTCCAACATTTAAAATAATGGGTATTTTTAATTCACTCTAGCAGGACCTCTCTTTATTAATGTACTGTAAGACTGCATAGTGTCTGTAACTGTTAGCTCTCCGCTAATCTGCATTGCATGGTCGATTGGACGAGCGTCGGTGATCTTGATTATATCATTTTCGGGTGATATTTGCTATTCTTTACCAGTCCCGTAGGAGATTAGAGGCAGCGGTGGAACGTCTCACGCAGCATGGAGGTTCTTCACTTGTCACATCGCTTTGTTCTCTTCAGGCTCCCATACTTGCATTAGCGCCACAAAGGACCTGTGGCTTTAACTAACTCAAAAACAGCATATGCTCCCGTGCTTGACATATAGCTTTTAAAAAAGGGAGGGGGGGATTGTGGGGG